CATCACTTCAACAACAAATGGGTTGGCATCACTTCAACAACAAATGGGTTGGCATCACTTCAACAACAAATGAGTTGGCATCACTTCAACAACAAATGGGTTGGCATCACTTCAACAACAAATGAGTTGGCATCACTTCAACAACAAATGGGTGAGCTCGGACAGTTTTAACAAACTTTTACGTCTCGCGGGACCCTCAACTACGTATCGAAACACCAACTGGAGGAGCAGCATTTCAGCAGAGGAAAAACAGTTTAGTTGCCTGTGGTGAGCGCTGTGTGTCAGTTTGGTACATGTATGTAACACAGGAGATTTGAGCAACAGTTGCGTAGCCGGAAAGTTGTGACAAAACACAAACTTTTCAGTCTCCAAAAACCCCGAGTGGCCTGTGCGCGTGGTGCTTAGATCTATCTATTTCATTGTTTAGTTAAGCTTTAGTAGAGGTTTTACGGCGCTCGTAACTGCAAGGTCATATGAGCGCCAAGGGGCGGAAGTCAACAGAGAAGGCCTTACAGGGAATCAGACTTATTAGTTCTGCTAACCTCTCTAGCTTCAACAGCACAAGGTCTGCTTCAACTATCATTACTATCAAGGCACCCAGGAAATAGCGGGTCACATGAGTGCGACAAATATACAAAAGAAGTAGAGGAAAATGACGACAATAAGGATTAGGAAAGAAAAAGCAGCAGTTCCCTGTTGTAGATCAGGTACAGTTATGAGCATGACATTGACAAATCAGCCCATTTACAATTTACAATTTTACTGTGCATAAGAAATTCATGTCCCCCCTTTAGGAAAGGCCTAAAGACACTTCAGTCAGTGGCACCTCCCCATGTACATATGTGAGGCAGCGTGGTGGAATCAGGCTCTCGTCAAAATAATCAAAATAAAGAAACTTGCATTTTTACCGCAGGTTTGTGAATTTTTAGAGAATTTTTGTTTTTTGGCTCAACATCATTCATGCCCATCAAAAAACTCATTTCTGTGTAAATTTTTTCTGAAAAACGTTGATCAAAGTCACACAAAATGTAGATTTTCAGTTACCACAGATTCTTAAGCTAAGGAAATAACTCATCTTTGCGGCCATTTTCTCTCTAATTTTACCTCTGAAAACAGGTGACCTCTACCTCCTCCTTTCTCAAATATCTCGAATTGTATTCAAGATAAATGGATATTTTTTCATCCAAATAAAGACAAGTAAACAAGCTTTGAGATGATACCAATAACTCAACATGTCCAAAAATTGAGGAGAGCCTGATTCCACCACGCTGCCTCACACATGTAACAGATCTACTGGTATTTAAAAACAAGTTGTAGTAGTATCTCACATATCCTTACACTTAGTTTTAGTAAGTGTTTTTACGGCACTTGCAACACAATAAGGTCATATAAGTGCTGAAGATCAGAGATGTTACATTAGAGTAACAAACACAAAAAAGAAGGAGGGAAGATAAGGACGATAGACGTTTGATAGGAAAGAAGGAGCAGCAAACCACATCAGAGCACCCACCAACTGCCCACCCTCTTACTTACACACAAATATTACGTGTGGCACAGTGATGAAATCAAGCGCTCGTCAAAATAATGAAATCTACGACACTGCCATTTTTCCACTTGTGGGGCCAAATATTTTTATTTAATCATCACTGACATACATCACTAAAAAACAACAACAATCTCTTCAAATCTTTCATTTAATAAACTCCCACACACTTCACAGTATATCCCACTTTTCAAATGTTTCATTTTGTCATCATTCACACACTTCATAGTATAAAATATCACACTTTCCAAACGTTTCATTCAATCATCATTCACACACTTCATAGTATAAAATATCACACTTTCCAAATGTTTCATTCAATCATCATTCACACACTTCATAGTAGATCGCGCTCTTCAAATGTTTCATTTTGTCATCATTCACACACTTCATAGAAGATCGCGCTCTTGAAATGTTTCATTTTGTCATCATTCACACACTTCACAGCAGATCGCGCTCTTCAAATCTTTCAACAAATTATCCTCCCCACACTCCACAATAAACCAATCTTTTCAAACCTTTAATCAGACCATCATTAACAGATGTCATATTTCATGGATTTTGTCCAATATTCGATAAAAAAAATCTTAATACAAACTCACCGTTGAAATGGTTTTGTTGCACATGAGGCAATAGAAGAAGCAACTAACAAACAAAGACAACAGTACACGGCAAACACTTCACAAAATTAAAAAATTAAAAAATTCTCTACAGAACCCTAAACCACAGTGTTTTCACATTTTCACATTCACAGAGTTAAGGGACCTTCAAATATAATCTTACGCCTGGGGGGTGGGGGCTTCGGCTCCTTTAAGAAAAGTGTAAAAGG